GATCCAGTACCTCCTCCCAGTGTGGTGGCAACCACTTGCTCAGCTGGATGTTCAAGATGTAAAAACTTCTGGGAAACAGACTGATTTTCCTGGCATTTAAGGTATTTGGGGTTTGTGTTTCCTGAGCTGTCTGGGTTAGATAACAACCCCATCTCGGACTTGTCCTTGCTGCTCTCTGCTGCTCTGCTCTGAGCCCTGGCAGGGGGGTGTGTTTCTGTGTTCCCCGATCGGATTTACAAACACCACGTTGTTTACTAAACTTTTCAAACGGTCTTTCCTCCTGCCAGCGTGGAAATGGAACTGCCTCACCTGAATGGCAGACCCACAGAGCCTTGACCTATTTATTTGTGGGCCTGTTCCTTGCTGATTCCAAGGCTTTTCCTCTCAGCTTGGTGGAACCTTCTGTTGTTAGAAGGTGTGTTTTACCCCTGGATTTGACAACAGCAAGTGCCAAGGGGTTTCTTTGGCTTGGGCCAGTAACTCTGCAAAGGCAGAACAGTCTGAAGGATGTCACTGGTGCATGCTGCAAACCTGCAAAGAGTTGGGTCCCCACTGAGAAGCACATCCAGCATCCCAAACGGGGTGTGGACCTTCACCAGGGGCAGAGGCAGCCCCCAGACAGGAGTGGTGCTGGTGACAAGGGCCTGAGGAGGTCACAGCTCTTGGTAGGCAGGATGTCTGTGCTCACCTGGTCCCTGAGGGCCCACAAAACCCCTGGACAGCAGAGCAGGTTGGGTTTTTGAAATTCCCTTAAATGCCAAGGAGTCTTGTTTGGCCAGAAGATGGACTATGTTTAAAATGTCTCTCAAAGCTCCTGGCTGAGCCGCAGGAGCTTCAAAAGGGTGAGTGAGAACTCACCACCAAGATTTTTTCAGGACTGATAACAAAGACAACCATCAGTTTAAACCTCCCTGGCCAGTGCTTTGTCGAGGAGAAGTGCCCTGATGGGAGTCTGGCCCCACCGCCTTCGGGTGGTTATTCTGCTGAATAAAGCCTTTGGGACTCACCAACAGTGCAGCCAAAACCCCCTCCAGACCAGAAAAGGGGTTTGCAAGCGGTGTCCCTGAGCCCTGGCTCCAGCCCCCCGGGGAATGGGTTTGTCCCCAGCAAGGGGCTTGATGACACCCCGGGGGTTAATGAGAGCCCGGGACAGATGGAATAAACAGCCTGGGATTTACCAGCAGCCTGCAAACAAGGACTTTCACAGCTAAGCCCCCCAGCCCCCTGTATTGCCTGGGGTTGGGGAGGGGGGAGATGCTTTAAGAAAAGGCTTCTGGCAGCAGCAGCCAGGGAGAGCTTGTGAGTTTGCAAATTGCTTCCAAGCCTTGTTAATCCCTGCTCAAATACGAAGCTTTGTAAGCTTATCCCTCCTTTCTCACCAGCCGCTCTCAGGAAAGCCCCGCCGGCCTGGATAATGCGGAGCTTTACTTAGGCGAGGCTTAAAGGACAGCCAGGGAAACCAGCCCTGAGTGTCACAGAGCCCTCAGTTTTCAGGAGTTCCCCGTAAATCCAGCGTTCCCCTCGGGATGTTTGATGCTCCCAGCTCGAAGGAGGACGCCGAAATTGGGGATTTGAGACAGAAATGCAGAAAACAATTGAAATGTGAACAATGCAGAGCCCGCTGTTGCTCATACAGGAATCACTTCGTGAAGTCACTGTGTCCCGGGGTGTTTTTAAATAGATCTTCAGTGGGTAGATGTTTTGGTTCTCTCAGGGGCTGTCTGAGATTCACCAGCAGTGTTAATTAGCTAGTGCTGAACGGTGTGCAGTTTGCCAGTCAAAATTTAGGCTGTGGGCTCCTTTTCTGGAGTATCACAAGTGCCACTGAACACTGAATTATGGTCTATTTATACAATCTTTAAATAGGCGAGTTTTCATGTTTTCGACCTCACTCTGCTTTGCAAAGATAAGTTTAATGGGTTTAGTTTCTGACAAATCAGGGAAATTTGCTTCTCAGTCAGGCTCCAATGAGTGGTTGTTATGTTTTATTACTTCTGTAACATCCTATAGACCAGAAACAAAAGACAGATGTGAGTCTCCGTCTACTCTCAAGATCAGAAAAATCTGCTTTTTTTAGGATTTGGGTTTTTTTTTTCATAGAAAGCATCACAGTAATAAGAGCACATCACCCCCCAGGAACCTCAGGCAAGTAACAGATGAGAGTCCTACAAGGTCCTTTGTGGCTCCGCCTTAACAGTTTTGAGAATTTATTCCACAAATCCACCTCCTACTTCCCAGTGGCAAAACAGAGCAGAGTTTCCAGCCAACCTGCAAATTCATCTTGAGGAGAAAAGAGGGGAAGAAAGGAAGGCAAAACCCCGCAGCACTAAGTGGTGAAAACCCAGATTCCTGAGTGAGCTGGAAAATCCTTCTCGGCGCTGCTGAGCAGCAGTGACATCCCTGATGGAGATGTGCCCTCTCCTGGCGGCCCCGGGAAAGCCTGGAGGGACACCAAAATGGAGAGGTTTGGGAGCCTGTGCCACTCTGCTGAAATATTAGTGGGATAATAAACGAGAGGCCTGGTTGGGATGGATTGACAGACAACACTCCAACTTCTGCTCCCTGACTAAGCCAAACAGTTGGAATGGTTAAAAATCTTTAAGGAAATAAGGCATGTTTTGCTGTCCTTAAGACACTGTCCTGCCCTCTTCAGCATCATCTCCCTCTTCAAACCATGGATGTGAAGGAGCATCATGGTTTTCCAAGAGCAGCTCTCCCTGTGCCCAGCGCTGGAGCATCTCCCAGTCCAAGCCTCTGCTGGATTTAGTGTCCACTAATTAATCCTTCCATGTGAAACACCACAAGAAACACACCCCTGCCAGATCCTCTCCTAACAAGACCATCCAGAGGAAAAAAAACTGCTTGGAAAATTATCCTGAGGTGTTTAAAGTGAAGCAGCTCCACCAACAGAGCAGCTCCATGTGATAGAACACAATGCTCCACAGAGCAGCTCCATTCAGGAACACAATGGCATTTGGACATTTCTGGCAGAGCTAAACAGTAAGTTAGAAAAGCAAAATGCATCTCTGTCTTTTACTTTCTTATCTGAACCTTCTGTTTGCCACACTGAGAGATCTGGGAAGTTTCCTCTCAGTTTATAAAACATTTAGAACAGATCTTCTCTGCCATCCCGTGTAAGCAGAAGCCCTCAGGGATTAAGGAAAAAAATGCAGCTTTCACAGCAGCAGAGAGTGAAAACAAGGGGATCTTTCCTGATTTGTGTCCTGGCAGTAAACACAGAGCCTTGTACTATAGAATTGTACAGGTTTGGTCTCCTGGGTGGCTGGGATGGGCTTGAAGTTCCTGGTGCTTTAAAAGCAAACACGATTGTGTGTTTATTTTCAAACACTCTGCTCCTCCAGCCATGGGTGATATACTACCCCAAAGATCAGACCATAGATGTTCCTGCATTTTCCAGGCCTGGTAACATTATATTTCTAACTCTTCAGACCAGAAAGATGGCAGTGGGCAGGAGCAGCATCTGGCTGTCCCAAAACCCCCCACTACCACCATCAGCACATTCCCTGGGGAAGAACCTGGACATTGAATTACCTGCAACCTGAAGGAAAAAAAAAAACAAACCAAAACAAAAAATCCCCTGCAGGCCACAGGCACAGAGGTGAACAATAATAATAATGGGAGAAAGCTGGTGTCATTGTAACTATATCAACAGTAGCTGCTTGATACTATTTTTACTGGAATGCTAAAACAACTCATTATGCTTCCACATCGCAACTCTTGACTCCCTCCAAGAGGAGCCAAGGGTTCATTTCAAGTGTTTCAGTTCTTGTAGATCGTGTGGACACTGAGTAAAAAAATACCTGTTGTTTTCTTCCTGTTATTTTTTTCCACTGAGAATTTTGACTGGTTTTCAGTGACTGTCTCTTTTCAGTTATGGGCTGTGTTTTCTGCAATCCTCTGCTGGCCTGAAGACTTGTGAGAAGGGTTTCCAAGGATCTGCTGCCTTGTTTCTCTGCACTCCAGTGCCTGCACCGGTGTTTCCTCTCATCCCCATACAAACACATTTTGGGAGAATAAACATTTTTGTTTTATTCCAGAAACAATCTGCTGGGCCTTTCCCCTCCAGTAGCTGTATCTGCCAGTTGGAATCAGATGTTCAGATCCCTGGAACTACAGCAGTTCAGGTGCTTCGCTCCCTTTGGAATCACACATCTATTCTCCTCATGCTTCCTCCCACAGTGCTGTGCTTCCTGTCAGGAATTATGTGCCAGTTTTCTCTCCTTCACCTTCTGTTCCTTCTGCTCTGGCACATTTTCTCCAGTTCAGGTTCTTTTTCAGCTTTCCTCGACCCTGTCAGCTGAAGAGGAGAGAGGCCTGGATGGAGGCAGTTTTCCAGCTGGTGGATTCCTAGAGCTCGTGTGGATAAAAACTGCAGGACTCCGAAACCCCAGAGGTTCCTGGCAAAAGGTCCATTCCACTTTCCACACCTCCAAAGGAGGAGGCCACCTTTAGTCATGGAAGAAGCCTCTTTCCTCATCTGTGGAGGACACAGAGATCCCAAGCTCCTGATCTGGAAGCTGCAGTCAGGAGGTTTCTCCTGTCTCTCATGGCACAGCCATAAGAGTGTCTCCACTTTTCTCGCTCCTTTCCTACTAACTTACTGCTTTTATTACCAAACCAAACACTGAACAGCAGCCAGGAGAGATCCAGGGCCTTGGAACATCAAGGATCACCTTAGGGGAGGTGTGAGGGAGAAGGGGGGAAAGAGGGATTGTTTTCCTCGCTTAGATGGATCAGTGCTGATGAAAACACTGGAGAACATGTAGTGCTGAATGGATCCAGGGCAGGAGCACTGCCCTTGGTTTGGTTAATTGTTTTCCTTTGCTCAGAAGCCTTGGCACAATCCTCTCTCCAGAGCAGCAGGGGAAGAGGGAGTCTGGTCCCAGCCCAGAGCTGCATCCATGGAAGGAGAGGAACAGCCTAGAGTAATGACCGGTGCTTGTATTACACATGAAAATCAAACCAAATAAACACTGAAATGGACTTTATTGAGCTGCAGCACAGAGGAGTTCAGGGAGCAGAGGGGAAAGTCACTGTTACTCAGGCACGAGGGCGTTTTTCAGGAGCGTTTTTATCTCGGGGCTGAGGCTCTTGGGGAAGCAGATGTTGAAGTAGATGAGGAGATCCCCCTTCTGCTGGGGGTCCTGGGGCAGTGGCATTCCCTCCCCAGGAACTACCTTGCAGTACCTGGGGCTGCCAAGCAAAGGAAGGGGCTGAGAGGAGCCCCAGGATGATCCCCAACACTGGGACCCCCAGCCCCACCTGCAGAGCTCCCCAGGGCTGTCTTAAGTCAAGTTCAACCGGAGACTTTTCCTCCTCTTTCGGGCTCCACCATCCACCCTCTTCTCTCTCTTGACTCCCATCCACCCAAAAACGGCCCCAGACCAGAAGAGTCACCCCCTGTGGGCATCATCCTCCTCCTCCAGCCCCAGAACTGCTGGGAAAGGCTTTGGAGGTTCCTCAGAGCGCCCGCTCACCTCCGTGCTCACCAGGATCCATGGAAAAGCCCCATTTCCCCACGGCACTTACTCCACAATGTCGTTGATGGGGATGTTGAGCAGCCTCCCATCCAGTGTCCACACATCCAGGGTGCATCCAGTCAGTGCCTACGGGGCACGGAGCAGCACTGGGAGCTGCTCCTGCAGCCCCAGGGGCCAGAGGTGGAGCTCCGGCCCTTCCCTCGGCCCTTTACCTTTCCCAGTGGGATTGAGGCGACATAAATGAGGTTGTTGTCAACTCTTTTAAACCTTGAGTGAAGCTTCTCTTGGACAACAAAGATGATGTCAGCTGGAATGACGTTGGGGCCCTAAAATTGAGGGGAATAAATAGATCATGGAATCACAGGGTGGGTTGGGAGGGATAATAAAGCTCATCCAATTCCACCTGCCTTCCACAGACCCTCCACACTTTCTACTAGACCAGGTTGCTCCAAGCCCCATCCAACCTGGCCTTGAAAACCTGGAAATGATTTTACACAGGGAAAGCTGACACAAATTCCTGATCTTTTGCTGCCGCTTTCAGCTGGAGAAGGGAAAGGTATTTTCTTTCTTTAAGGAAAAAGGGAATATTTTCTCAGACTCCTGCTCAGCCAAGGGAAATCAAACTGCGCTTCCCAAGTGCCAGGCAGGAAACCACCCCTTCCAATTATTGCTTTTTATCTGAGGAAAATCCAGGCAGGAATGGCTCCTCAGAGTGTTTCCGAACACAGGAATGCTGGAATTGCTCCACTGGTTGTGCTGCCAAGTTTCCCAACAATGGGAAACCAGAACTTCATGTCACGGGAGAACTTCTTTCCATGGAGGGTGAGGTTGCTTCCAGCCCTAAGAACTCTGGGATCCTGGGTTTACCTGGTCTCCTTCCTTCTCAAAGGTGATCCTGGTGCCGCGCTTCCATCCCGGCTGCACGTCGATGGTCAGGATCTTATCCCTGATGGTGCTGGTTTGGCCATCCTCGTTCATCACCTGGGCAGGATACCAAAGAGGGAGGGTCAGGACTGCTCCAATCCCCTGGCACAAGCCAGCAGAGAACAGGGAAAGGACGGATTGTACTTCATGGTGGGTCCAAATCAGAACTGTGGGATCACTAAGGTTGGAAAAGCCCTCTGAGACCATCGAGTCCAACCATCCCCAGCACTGCCAAGGCCACCACTAACCCCTGTCCCCGAGTGCCACATCCACACATCCTCTGGAAATGGGGACTCCAGCACTGCTCACAGCCCATTCCCATGTCACCCTTTCAGGGAAGGAATTTTCCCCAACATCCAATCTAAACCATCCCTGGCACAACCTGAGGCAGTTTCCTCTTGTCCTAGAGCAGGAGAAACTCAGGACTGGATCCAGGAGACAAAGGGCACAAAGGGCACAGCATAGCATGAAAATGGAATTGTGGGAGCCCAGAACATGCCGACCCCCTTCTCCATCCACCTCCAAAATCAGCCCTCGCTTCCCACCAGCTCCTGCATCACCTCCCGTGCTGAATTCCCTTTGCCAAGCCCGGAGAGGAGGACACTGGTTCAGCTCCTGCTGGGTTTGGTGCCAATCCCTCCCTGCGGCACAGCCCCAAATCCCTCAACATCCCACACGGAGAGAGGGGACAGCCCATCCCAAAATCCAGCTCCACGGCCCTACCCTGCGGGAGATCTTGATCTTCTTGGTGCAGCCATGGAACAGATCCTCGAGGGACACGTAGAGGTCCCGGATGACAGGGGGGTCCTGCCGGAGCGCCCCCCGGCCCCGGGGCCCCCCGAAGGGCAGGAGCACCTCCGAGCCATCCTCGGCAAAGAATTCTGCAGGAGGGAGCACAGGGATGGCCCCTCCCTCAGGTCAGAGCCAGGGGGGGCCTCAGGGGTCTTCGTCTCCCTTCTTCTCCTACCCCAAACCACCCGAAGTGGTTTTTTTCCAGGAGTGTTTCCGCCTTACTCATGTTTATGGCAGCCTTGTCCCCCTAATCCCTCTTTTTGGTGGGAATCCTCCCAGGAAAGGTCGCAGGAGCTGACAGCCTGAACATGCACCTCCAGCCCTCTCTCCCACCCACGGCTGGGGGAAGTCAGGATCTAAACTCCAGTTACCAGAGGGATCCCAGAGCAGTTGGGCAGGGAAACATCCCTGGAAAGCTTAAAGCTCCAAGCATGGAATCACAGCAACTATGGATGGAGTCTCAGCTGCCCGCCTCAGAATCCCCCATCCTACCTGCAAAGGGGTTGTCCCCACCAAAGAACTCCTTGAAGGTTTTCTCGGGGTTGTTGTGGAACACGTATCCCACGCTCCAGGGGTTGTCACTGGCCAGCTCCAGGGGGATGCCACCCTTGAGCCCCTCTTCTCCAAACTTGTCGTAGATGCCTTTCTTCATGGCTTAGGGAACAAGGAGGGGTTGGGAATGGGGGAGAGCCTCAGCCTGAGATCCGGGATTTGCTTGGGTGGAGGTGGCATAAGGGGGTTCCCAGCAATGGGTGGGATGGATGTCGGAGCGTGTGCCAGCTCCCAGCTGACCTGTGGGTCACACAGCTGGTGGCACCTCCCTGGGGTGCCAGGAACCAGGGATTCACACCCACTTCCAGCCCCTCCTGCCCCTAAAATC